TAACAATTCCAGAAGGCTCCTATGAGATAAAAGACATCAATGATTACTTGAATGCCTACGTAAGAGACAATAATAAAGAAGATGATTTAAAAATAAGCATACTCGCCAATCACAACACATTACAGTGTGAAATTTTGTGCAACAAAGATATACATTTTAACAAGAAAAATTCTATTGGAAGTTTATTGGGATTCAAAAGTCAACAACTTGAAGCAAATAGAAGACACGTGTCGGAGAACCCAGTGGATATCTTCAAGGTCAATGCAATTTGTATTGAGTGTAATTTAGTGATAAATTCCTACAATAACGGTGATCCGGTTCATATACTGCACATGTTCTATCCCACCTCACCACCAGGATTTAAAATTGTTGAAAAACCCTCAAATGTCATTTATTTACCAATCAGTACGCGATACATTGATGAGATTTTATTGAAAATTACCGATCAAAGTGGAGAAGCCATTAATTTCCGCAGTGAATTGATAACTGTTCGATTGCATTTGAGAAAATCGTCATAGTGGAAACAAAAAATAAAAAATGGTGTTTTTATATAATCATAATTCATTTAGTGCACCCTCCGATAACAATGATTACAACGAGAACGACAACAACACAACAACAACAACAACAACGACCAACGAGTCCAGAACACAAAAAGCCTTTAAAAATAAGTCACTAAAGGAAAATCGCTTCAGTGATGGAAAATCAGTCAAACGGTTAACAGTGCAAAATAAAAACTTTTTGATTTCGTTAGGCTTCAAGTTAAAAGTGCAGTAGTGTCATCATTTCGATAAAAAAGAGATTTATACAATTTTGGGTCAACATTAAACTACGAGTGGGTTGTAGCATAAGAAGAATTATTCTATCTATTAGATGTAATTTCAAGTGTACTGAAGAATTTGAAAAAGAAGAAGAAAATGAGTCGTAATATTCTGAAAGTAAGCGAAAGTGTCATATATGATAATTCAATTGTAAGTTATCAATTGCACACACATCAACCCTACACATCATCAACATTCAATAACAATGATGAAATCCGAATTCCAATACAGACACAGGATGTTTATACATTACCCAGCCAAAGTTTTTTGTATATTGAAGGTAAACTTTTATTGTCTGATAACGTAACGTTCAGCAACAATGTAAGCTTTATTAACAATGGATTGGCCCACTTATTTGATGAAATTCGCTATGAATTGGGAGGCGTTATTGTTGATCGTGTAAGAAACCCTGGAATTACGTCGACAATGAAAGGTTATGTTTCATTCAAGGAAAGCGAAAATAATGTTTTGGTAAATGCTGGTTGGGATGCCAAATCAAATCCAGCACTTTTGGATGGAAACGGAAATTTCAATGCATGTATACCTCTGAAAATTTTAATGGGATTTTTTGAGGATCATCATAAGATTATTTTGAATGTGCGACAGGAACTTGTATTGATAAGAAGTAATTCTGACGTCAATGCTCTCATTGAACAAGAAGATAAAAAAGAAACATACAAAGTGACGCTAAGTAAAATTTTATGGAAAATGCCACATGTTAGAGTGTCTGATGATCAAAAATTACGTCTTTATAAGTTTTTTGAGAAAAATTTGGACCTAAATATTGCATTTAGAAGCTGGGAATTGCACGAATATCCACAACTACAAAGTACAACAAATCATACATGGGCTGTTAAGTCCACCAATCAGTTGGAAAAACCACGTTTCATCATTATTGGATTCCAAACAAATAGAAAAAATGTTGCATCGAAAAACATGAGCAGATTTGACCACATAACCTTGACAAATTTAAAAGTCTATTTAAACTCAGAAGTTTATCCCTACGATAACCTCAACCTGGACTTTGACTCCAATCATTTTGCAATCTTATATGAAATGTATGCACAATTCCAAAAATCCTACTATTATCGTGAGCAAAGTGAACCATGCTTCTATCCTATAAATTTCAAACAAGATGCTCCTCTAGTAGTCATTGATTGCTCTCGGCAAGGTGAAGACATTCTAAAAGGTGGTGCTGTTGATATTCGTGTAGAATTCGAAGCGAAAAAAGCGGTTCAAGCAAACACCACAGCTTACTGTTTGATTCTCCACGATCGACTAGTGAAATACAATCCCTTGACCAGTACAGTGCGTGTACTTTAGACTCTAGCGAAAGTGAATAAAGAAAAAAGAAAATGTTCATCTTAGACGTACAAGGTTTCCAGTTCAAAGACAGTGATTTCGTTTGCAAGGAAATTGCAATCTTAAATAAGGCAACTGGTCAGCTATACCATCATTTTATAAATTTACCAATTCCAAGTAAATGGCTCAATGAAAACTTCAGACGTCAAGTTCAGTGGAATACCCAAAACCTGCACGGACTGGATTGGGACAGTTTTAATTTTAGTTTTCTACCTTTGGAAAATATCACAAATTTTATACAAGAAATCGTTCAAAATAACACTGTTTTTGTCAAAGGTTTCAACAAAAAAGTGTGGCTCTGTAATTTGATAAATAATCATATAGTCGATATGGATAGCTTGGGATGTCCAAATTTCAAAAAGTTAAAAACTGTATTGTTTCCAAATTCACTACATTGTAATACACATTCTATCAATAATCTATTTTGTACCAGAGAAAATGTTTTTCTATTGAATAATTGGTTTGTGAATAAAATACATTAAAACATATTTTCAGTCTTTTTTTTTTTTTTTTACAACAATAACTGGGTAGGTATGTACTCACTGATGACTATTGCTGCTGCTGCTGCTAGTTCCAGGTTAGTCCATAGTTGCAGCCGCCTCGGATAATAAAGATAATACCTCCTCTGTCTTGGCTCTCTTCGTGTTGTTGTTTTTCTCTTTGACACTAGCAGCAGCAGCAGCATCGTCCTCATCTGACGAGGACAAGTATATCTCTTCCATATTCAGCTTCCTCTTCGAGCTGCTACCAACGCCACTACTTTGCTGTACAATAGCAGCCACCTCGTTGGGTTCTTCATCTAAGAGATTGAAACGATTCCGCTTCACGACCTTCTCCAGAATTTTGAAATCTGCCTCGTTGTTTATTTTTGTCCTCATATAACGTAGAGGCAGATTGCCAAATTTCCGCTTCAGGGTTATAGCTTTGGGCGAGTAGGTTAAGTGGACATAGACCTTACCGTCTCGCTCAACAATTTCCTTAACACCGTATCTGAAGAAAAAAAAAAAGCCAAGGTACATTTTTAAATTTGAAAGAAAATAAATAAAATATTGATATAAAAAAAAAAAACTCACTGAAACATCTCTCTCATTACAACCAAAACATCACTATTTGGAAAATTAATTTTGTCACCCGTCATCACGACCAGAGTACATGGTACATTTGCCATTTTTTTTTGTTTGCTAGTTGAATCTTAGTGTCGAAGAAGAAGAAGAACTGGATTAACTGTAACACCATGAACTGATCCTCAATATAAATACTAATTTGAACGAAAAAAGTATTCCTAATTTTTGATAAAGTAATAAATTGATTGACGTCAATCTAGTATAATGTAATGTATCATTTTGCTGAGTTGCTAACTCTCAATTTTATGGAAAATTTCGTTTCTATCATTATTACAACCAAATAACTTTACTACAATGTATAATTTCTGCACAAGTCAAGTATTTTTTGTTTATCAATTTAAGATTCGCATAGGAACACAACAAAGTAATCTGTTGAAATTTTGCCAAGTAAGGGATTCATTTGTTATCGATAACTTTGAATTTTGGAATAATTTCGTTTCTATTATCACGCAAAACAACTTAATTAATACAATGTATAATTTCTGCACAAGCCAAATATTTTTTATGTATAAATTCAAGATTAGAATTCATTATTTTATTATTCGTTTGCGAGTTGAAAAAACAAAAACTCAACTGTTTCAATTTTGTGAAGAAAAAAAAAGTTTACCGAAGAAAATCATGGCTGAAATCAAAAGCCCTACCGTCAATCCTTCCAAATTTATAAGGTAAATTTTTTTTCCTTTATAATAAGTCCAACTTGTAATTTTCTTTTCTGTGTAGAGCTCCATCAACAAATATTGCCGCTTACCATTATTTAAGTGAAACGTTACTTTTCAACGAAAAAAAAATCGATTTTCCATTGAATGAAAATTTGGATTCAATTTTAAACATTTTATATAAGTTATTATTAGAGATAGGTTATAGATTAAGATGTTTTTCTGCAGGAGGTTTTGTTTCATATTTACTAGGTAAAACCAATAAATATGGAGACATCGATATTTACATTGAAATAGATAATTATGAAAAAGAAAATATCTGGCATTGTGAAAATTTTCAAAAGCCGATATTGGAAATTCTGAAAAGCGACAGAATTTTCGATTCAACAACAACTAGAGGAAACTATTATCAATCAAGTCCTTTCGGAATGTCCAATATTTTGTATTCTTACTATGTCAAGACTGATGACACAGTTTTCAATTTTGTATTTCTCGAATGTCAAAATTTTCTTTCATTCGAAGAACTTATTGTCGATACATTGGACAGATTCGATTTGGACATTTGTAAAAATTCATTATTCATATTCAATCACAGTTTCCGTACAATAAGCTTCAATGAAACAGAATTTATTCAGACCTCTTATGCTAGCGAGAGTAGGAAAATCAAATATAGGCAGAGACAAAAAGAGCTTTTACTCAATCCCAATAATCTAAAACTATTAGGTCTGATTGAAATAAAAAATTGGAAAAAACAGTTTTCCAACACAATCTTGCATGCCACAAGCATCCAATTATTGTAAACATCATCAATAACTTTCCATTATTTTTTTTTCCTAAATTTTACTGTTAGTTTCCAAAAACATCTGCATCAGCATTAAACAAAAATGATTGCAACAAATTTATCCTTTTGCTGAATGATGATGTAAATTGAATTGATAAGAAATTTGTATATATTGAACCATTTTGTAGGGAATTAAGTCAGTGTAGTCCGCAGCAGCAACAGCTAAAAATTAAATAATTAAACAAAAAAAACAAAAATGTCTTTCTCTTCATCGTCATCGTCATCGTCGTTGTCGTCATCACCTCCATCATCTAGCAGACAAACACTAGATAGTTTGAGCAGTGAGGCTGTGAAGAAAACCAAAATCGTAAGTAGACTACTTAAAACACAACAAGATTTCAAAATTCACACTCGTTTACTTAAAAAAAACATCAAACTTATTAGTAGTGCTTTGAAAAATAAATCCAGTATACATAGTTACCATAAAGTTGAATCTAATTTGGCTATTTTAAATTACTACTTACAAATGTATAAATTTAATTCCAAAACTAATAAAAGTTTAAATAAAAGAAAATTAGTTTGGCAGGATTTGGATTCTTGTTTCAATGGGCGAATCAAAACTGGAATTATTAATAATTTGAAATTTAAAGAACCTCAAGAATTTTTAAAACGAACATTTCGGGTCTTCTCTTTACGAATTAAAAAGGAACTGAAAAATTCTTTGCTTAAAGTAAATGTTGTTTTTACAGGTTTATTCATAAAACCAAAAACCTTGGAAAAGTCTGAGAAACATTTTTCAACTAGAAATTCTGTTATTGATAACAATACAAATTTAACTGTTTGGTTCAGGGAAAATGTGATGGATAAAATTTTAGTACAATTGGAGGAATTTCAAGAAAGAGACAGTGGTTGGGCCCTGTATGAAATTTGGTTTATCAAAGTCAACATTAACTCGTACAATCCAATTAGTGTGGGTTTATCCACCTATGTCGATTTACCAAAATTCATTAAAGACACTAAATGTGTCGTAAATATCAAAAATCGTGATGTCTATTGTTTTATTTGGTCTGTTTTGTGTGCACTGGTTCAAACACCAATCAACAAAAATGTTTCACGTGCTTCAACCTATAAGCCTTTTTTATCAAAATTGAAATATGGGAATATTTCATTTCCGATAGCACTGAGGGACATTCCAAAGTTTGAATCTATGAACAACTTGGCCATTAATGTTTTTTGTATAAAAAAACGAGAAATTTTACCATTAATGCTGAGCAAAATGGAACATTATACGCAAAAAATTCATTTACTAATTGTACCTTGTAACAATGAACCAGAAATTGATGCACCCGATTATTTTGAGGACCCTCCACAAAGGATTTTCCATTTTGCTTGCATTAAAAATTTGAACGGTCTTTTGAATAAACAGCTTGATAATATTCATAACAAAAAATGGATCTGTGAGCGATGTCTCAATCATTTCTACACTGAAAATGTGCTTAAAAATCATTTAAAGGATTGTACACTTTTGAACAAATGCAAACTCACTCTACCAAAAGAACATGAACAAGTTTTAACTTTCAAAAATTTTGCAAATAAATTACCAGTACCTTTTGTCATTTATGCCGATTTGGAAAGTATGCTAGTGAAATATAATGATAAAAACTCTACAGCTAAATCGAAAAAATATCAAAAGCATGAACCATTCAGTATTGCATACTATCTAAAATGTAATTATGATGACTCGTTATCAGAATTTAAACTGCACACAGGGGAAAATTGTCCACAATGGTTTGTTAGAGAACTTGGTAGAATTGCGAACAAAATACAGTCAATATATTCAAATCCTGTGCCAATGAAACCCTTAAATAGAGAAGAAAAAGAGCAGTATGCTAAAGCGACACTTTGTCATATTTGCTGTAAGCCGTTTTCCATAAATGATTATAAAGTAAGAGACCACTGTCATTTAACAGGGAACTTTAGATCAGCTGCCCATAATTCCTGTAACCTAAAATACCACGACAATAACAATCACGTGACACCTGTGGTCTTTCATAACCTTTCAGGATATGACAGCCATTTCATTATAAGGTCTCTTTGTTCAGAAATTAAGGGAAAAATTCAGCTACTTCCTCTCAATAAGGAAAAGTACATTTCTTTCACAAAATATATCGAAAACACCAATATCAGCTTTAGGTTTATAGATTCATTTCGATTTATGGCTAGTAAATTGGAAAAATTAGCGTCCTATCTTGACGACAAGCAAAAACCAGTTACTAGGCAGTATTACTCTGATGAAACACGGTTTAAGTTGGTTACAAGGAAAGGTGTATTTCCTTATGAATATATTGACTGTTTGGATAAGTTACAAGCCAACAGTTTGCCACCAATGGAGCAATTTTTTAGTCACCTCACCAACTCGACTGTTTCACAAGATGAATATAAACATGCCTGTAACGTATGGGACACTTTCAATATCAAATCAATTCAAGAATATGCTGAACTGTATTTGAAAACTGACGTCTTGCTTCTTGTCGATGTGTTTGAGAAATTTCGTGAAGTTTGTTCGGACACGTATCAGTTGGATCCATTACATTATTATACTGCTCCCGGCTTAGCCTTTGACAGTATGCTGAAAATCACTGATGTGAAATTAGATCTTCTAACAGATGTTGACATGATTTTGTTCAATGAAAAAGGGATAAGAGGAGGAATTTCACAATGTTCGAACAGATATGGAAAAGCTAACAATAAATATATGAATGAACACGATCCTAACGAACCATCTACCTATCTGATGTATTTTGATGTTGTCAACCTGTATGGAGCAGCCATGAGCTATCCTCTACCTACAGGTAACTTTGAGTGGATTGAAGACATTTATCAAGAAAACAACATTTTTGATATACCCGAGGACAGTGATACTGGTTATATTTTCGAGGTAGACATGGATTATCCCAAAGAGTTATATGATCTTCACATGGATTTGCCGCTTTGTCCCGAACATTTAGTTCCACCAACTTCAGCGTCTACACTTCCAAAGCTTCTAACAACACTATACAATAAGAAAAAGTACGTTATTCATTACAAAATGTTGCAGTTAGTTTTGAAGTTGGGTCTTAAAATTAAAAAAATTCATAGGTGTTTGAAATTCAGTCAATCACCTTGGTTGAAAAAATATATTGACTTGAATACAGAACTACGAAAATTAAGCAACAATTGTAAGCAATTTAGCAATTTCCTTACTTTCATAGTGTTTATCCTATCTGTGCGCCATATTGAAGCATTCATTAGGTTATGTAGCAACCATAAAGGTAGCAACCCTGTCCTGTGACGTAATAGAAATGTCATTTATGAATGACATTTCTGACTTTTGACACAGACCAGGTTTTTTCCAGAATCAAGAAGAACAACAACCACGTGCCACGAAACAAACCGTTAATCGCCAGTTTTTCCAATAAAAGTTAATTAAAATAGAATCGCAACTTCTTTTATTTTGTAAACTAACATCGCCGGCCTTCCCTACAACTTCAGGTGTGGGGTTACAGCATTGTTCATGTCGGGGTCTACAGTCTACACTCGGGGGCTACAGCAAGTTTGAGCCGTCTAGTGCAGTATAGTGAAAATTATGTTTTTGGGCAAAATTATGGTTTGCCTGTGATTTTTTTTTCTTTAAGGAGCGATTATCCTATTTAAAAAATAAAAATGGATGTGAACAGTGTCGAGGACTTTGAAAATTTTATGGCGGAGCGGCTACAGCAGCAACCAAATAATAATAATAATGCCGAGCAAGCACCACCGAATCCTGTGCAAGATCCAGCTCAATTGGTGAACGTTGTTAATATGCTGGTACAACAGAATGCACAAATGCTGCAAATGCTTCAGTTGCAGCAGAATCAAGCAGCTACAACCCCTTTTGCTAGGAACTCCCAAAGCCAAGCTGGTAATATTTCAAATTTTAATATTATGCCTGACCTTTCGAAGAGCATAGACAAATTCAATGGTGAAGAAGACTCGAGTAAGGCCAAAATATGGTTGCAGCAAATTGAAAGCACAGCCTTGCTACATAATTGGCCGGATGCCTTTATTTTTCAAACAGCAAAAACTAATTTAGAAGGTGCTGCAAAGTATTGGTTCATGGGTCGTAGTGCAGAGCTTGTTGATTGGTCCAGCTTTAAGAATGCCTTCAAAAAAACGTTTGTTTTCATTCAAAACAAAACAGACAATTGGAAGAAAATGCAAGAACGAGTACAGCTGTCAAGTGAGGGGGTTTCAATCTACTTCCATTGTAAAGTAGCATTATGCAAAAACTTGGAACTTTGCTTTGAGGAAATTAAAGAGCAAGTAGCGATAGGGCTCTGGTCCAAAGAGTTGAGCAATTTCAATATGTCGAAAAGCCATTATGACGAAGATAGTTTGTTCCAAGACATCGTTAATTATGAGAGGATTGTTTTGGCACGTAAAACCAGAATTAAGGACAGAAAGGAACCTCAATTAGACAAAAAACCTGCACAAATTTTTAAGCCCGAAATTAATAGGTCCAGTGGCGTGCCTGCAGTTGGAAATGGTAGTGCTTTGAGATGCTTTAACTGTAATATCCTAGGTCATGGTGCTTCCCAGTGCATTAAGCCACCAAGAGCAAAGGGCTCCTGTTATATTTGTGGGTCGCTTCAGCACCAGAAAAAAGATTGCCCAAAGTTTACGCCTACTGTAGTTAGGCCTAAGACGGAACATGCATCTACTTCTTCATTATTAGTGGAGCCAAGCGTCACAAGTGGATACATGTTGCCAATTGAATTGAGTAAGGAAAACATTTCTATTTATGTAAACTCTATTGTGGACTCAGGTAGTGCAATATCACTGATAACTTATGATACTATTAAAATGTTTAATTTCAAATTTTCTGAAATACCAAATAGGTCTTATGAAGGCATAAATAAGACAAAATTAGAAATCTTAGGTTCAGTTTTGTTTCAAATTAATGTTGCTGATATTGTTTTTGATTTACTTTTGTATGTGGTCCCAAATGATACTATACCCTATACATGTCTTTTAGGGCGTGACTTTATGACAAACAATCAAATTATTATATCTTTTACAGGTACACAAGTAAACATTTTGCCTTCACCTTTAAACTTGAGTAAAAGCAAATCTGAGTGTCCCGAAGAAATTTTGCATATAGAGTATGTAGAGCAAAATTAAATTGATTTGAATATAAATCCATCTCTGGATCCAACTCAAAGTAAAATGTTAACCGACCTTTTTATTTCTGATTATTTAAATCCACCAAGGCCTCTTGAGCCACAGACTAAATACGAATTTAAAATTGTGGTAGATCCTAACCATGTTCCTTTCTTTTACAAACCACGCAGGCTTTCTTTTTCTGAACGACAGGCTGTGCAAGAAATAGCCAAGGATTTACTAGATAGGAATATTATTCGCAGAAGCAATTCTGAATATAGCTCGCCTGTTGTGCTTATTAAGAAAAAAACTATGGACTATAGACTTTGTATTGATTACAGGTCTTTAAACAAAATTACTTCACGTGATAATTTTCCTATCCCATTAATTGAGGATCAGATCGATCAATTAAGAGATAAAAACTACTTTACCCAATTAGATTTGAAAAATGCATTTTATTCTATTAGTATTGAACAGTCATCCATAAAATACACATCTTTTGTGACACCTGATGCTCAATATGAATTTTTGAAATTACCATTTGGTACAAAAAATGGCCCTTCAGCATTTATGAGGTTTATTCGTACAATTTTCCAAGATTTATTAGAACAGAATAAACTTTTAATTTATATCGACGATTTATTGATAGCAACAAAAACAATTGAAGAAAATTTAATCATTTTAAAAGAAATATTCAATTTATTGGTACAAAATAACCTACAACTAAGACTGGATAAATGCTCTTTCCTTTATACAGAAATTAATCATTTAGGCTACTTAATTAACGGCTCTCAGATTAAGCCTAATGATGCACATTTGAAAGCTATAAAAAATTACCCGATGCCTCGAACTACAAAACAATTACATAGTTTCATAGGATTGGCGTCCTATTTCAGAAAATTTGTGCAGAACTTTTCAATAATAGCCGGTCCCTTATATGATTTGTTGAAGAAAAATGTACCTTTTTATTTTGGTCCTGGACAAATAAAGAGTTTTAACACTTTGAAAAATTTACTAATTTCCGAATCTGTCTTAGCTATATACTCTCCCACTGCCGAAACTCAAGTCCATTGTGATGCCAGTTCTCATGGTTTCGCTGGAATTATTTTACAAAAACAAACTGATCAAAAGTTTCATCCAGTTTTCTTTTATAGTCAACGTACGAATGAAGCGGAGTCAAAACAACACAGCTTCATTTTGGAATTGAAAGCAATAATTAATACTTTGACTAGATTTCGAGTTTATCTTCAGGGCATCTCTTTCAAAATTTATACTGATTGTGATAGTGTTAATGCGGCTCTAAAGAAAAAAGACATAAACCCTAATATTATGAGGTGGAGTCTTATTTTAGAAAATTTTGACTATAAATTAGAACACAGAAGTGGAACACAAATGCAACATGTTGATGCGTTGAGTCGCTGTTTTGCAAATGTTTTAGTGTTAGAAGAGACTTCTTTCGAAACAAATCTCGGAGTTAAACAAGGACAAGACTCAAAAATTTTGGAAATAAGAACTTCTTTAGAAACAAATCAATCAAAATTGTTTGAATTAAATAACGGTTTAGTCTATAGGAAACATAATGATTTACTTCTATTTTATGTCCCTTTGTCAATGGAGAATAATGTTATTCGTAGTTGCCACGATGATCTTGGTCATGTGGGCACCGATAAATGTTGTTTGGCCATTAAGGAACATTATTGGTTCCCCGATATGCGTAACAAAGTCAAAGCCTACATCTCGAACTGTTTGAAATGTGTAGTCTATTCTCCAGATAGTGGCAAAAAAGAAGGTATGCTTCATAATATCCCAAAGGGTGACCAACCTTTCAATGTACTGCATTTGGATCATTGTGGTCCATTGGAAAAATCCAAACAAAAATACAACAAATATATATTTGCGGTGGTGGATGCTTTTTCAAAATTTGTGAAAATTTATGCATGTAAAACAACTAACACCTCTGAAGTCCTGAAACATTTATCTCAATATTTTTCCAATTACAGCAAACCCTCAAAAATAATTACTGATCGTGGATCAGCATTCACTTCTAAAGCTTTCACAGATTTCTTAGAATCTCAGAATATCACTCATATCTTAATTGCTACAGGTGTACCACGCGCAAACGGTCAAATTGAGCGATTTAATCGTTTTATTATTCCCATGGTTGCCAAATTGACAGAAACTCCTGACCGTTGGGATCAAGTTTTAAATCAGGTAGAATTTGCTATAAACAACACCGTAAATAGATCTACAGGTCAGACACCAGCCAAACTGCTATTTGGAATGAACCAAGTAGGCAAGATTAATGATGATTTGACATTTTTTCTCTCATTTATTAATAAAAACTTTGAAGATATTCATAAATTAAGGCAAGAGGCAAGTCAAAAAATAGAGCGAAACCAAGAATACAATAAAACTTACTATGACCAACGACATAAAGAAGCTAAGTTGTATGACATTGGCGATTATGTGGTAATACCGAACGTTGACGTTACTCCTGGAATTAACAAAAAATTACTGCCAAAATTTAAAGGCCCTTATGTGATTAAAAAAATATTACCTAACGAACGATACGTTATTACTGATATAGACGGATTTCAGGTCACTCAAAGACCTTTTGAGGGTATCTTTAGTGCTGATCATATTCGCCTTTGGGCGAAATCTCCAGAATAAAATATTATGATGTTCGATACTTAATATTTCTACTATTGTTTTTTTTATGCCTTCCTTCTTTCTGTTATTATTATGATGAAATAATTTATGTGTATTATGGTAGTATGATATTTTTGAAATTAAAACCTTATGTTTATGTCTTATGAAACTATTATGATGATTATGCCTTATGTATTTATGAACTTATGACCTTATGACCAGTTATGATTTTATGTCCATTCAGGAATTTATGTATACTTGATTATGAATTTATGTATAATTATGAACTTATCTAAAAAAAAAAAAAAAAACCTTATGTTGTAAATTTATGTTATGCATTATGTTAGCTTAATATGTAATATTCTTACATCACATTTTTATGTAATATTCTTATGTCTTAGTCTTATGTTATTTTTTTATGTATATATCTTCATATTATTTTGTACTTTGCAATCTTTGTTAGTATTGTGCATACACTCATTTATTTACCAAAGCGAGGACGCTTTGAGGGTCAGGACGACCGAGTTGTAAGCAATTTAGCAATTTCCTTACTTTCATAGTGTTTATCCTATCTGTGCGCCATATTGAAGCATTCATTAGGTTATGTAGCAACCATAAAGGTAGCAACCCTGTCCTGTGACGTAATAGAAATGTCATTTATGAATGACATTTCTGACTTTTGACACAGACCAGGTTTTTTCCAGAATCAAGAAGAACAACAACCACGTGCCACGAAACAAACCGTTAATCGCCAGTTTTTCCAATAAAAGTTAATTAAAATAGAATCGCAACTTCTTTTATTTTGTAAACTAACATCGCCGGCCTTCCCTACACAATGAATTTGAAAAAAACTTCTACAAGCTAATGAATAACGCACCGTATGGTAAGACCATAGAAAATGTGAGAAAGTATAAAGACGTTAAGTTGGTAACTAAATGGGGGGGTAAATTTGGCGCAAATTATTATATTTCGCAGCCCAATTTTAACAGCTGTGAAATTTTTGGTGAAGACATGGTGATAATTGACATGGATAGATTAAATATAAAATTTGATAAGCCCATTTATGTTGGTATGTCCATTTTGGATATATCGAAAACTATTTTGTATAATTTCCATTACAATTTTATTAAGGAAAAATTTAAATCTAATGCAAAGTTATTGTACACCGACACTGATAGTTTGATTTATCAATTTACAGATGTAGACATCTATTCTTGCATTCGAGAAAATATCAACATGTTTGATACGTCAGAATTTGCTCATGATAACGTGTACAATATTCCACAAAAAAATAAAAAAGTTTACGGTTTAATGAAGGATGAGAATAATGGAAAAATTATGACTGAATTTATTGGTTTGCGGTCCAAAATGTATTGTATAAAAATACAAGATGACAGCAAGGTGTCTTCTGCTTCATCTTCTTCTTCTACAGGTAACCGTGATATTGTTGTTAAAAAAGCCAAGGGTGTTCAGTCATCTTCATTAAAACTCATTTCATTCGATGATTATTATCAAAGTCTTTTCCATAACAAAATTATTGAGGTTCCACAAAATTTTATAAGATCAAAAAAACACGAAGTCTTTACAATGGAACAAATCAAAACAGCATTAAGTCCCTTTGACGACAAACGAATTGTTAACTATGTATACACTGATACAATTCCGTGGGGCTACAATGATTAACTTTCTTCTTCTTTTTGTGTTTTAAAAAAATGGTCTACTTTCTTTTATGTGAGGTTGTGGATTAATCTCACGTAAGTTATGCCTAAATCTATCAATACAATTATCATATTTTTTTTTTTTACATATTATTTCAGCCTGTCAATTTTCTAAAAAATTGGGAGTCTGTGTTTAGAGACTATGCTCGATTTAAATATCCTACTGTTGCCAATAATAGACGTTGCAGACTAATACGAATCCGAAAAGATCACTTTGACACAACACATGTGGTATAAAACTTTCAGTTTGGTTTTGTTTATTAATTTTTCTCAATTCCAATATTTTCTTTTCTAGTTGCACAGCAGCTGCGATATTCCAAACAAGAGAAAGTTTGAAGAACTGAGAAAATCAATAGTTACATATCATGCCAACAAATGCTTCTACAATTATCAAAGCCAACCATGGGATGAGGAGGGCCATATGAAAATGCATGAAGATATGTCCAAGGCTGAAAATTATGATGCGGCTACAAGAAAATATTGGAGTCGCATTCAAGATGAAACTAACTACAACAAGATTTATTTCAATCAATACAAGAATGTTCAAAATACCAATAAAAGATTTAAAAACTATTCAAGTAGTGTTCTCTCTACAAGGTGGTGCCAAAGATGCGAAATGTATTTTTGTTTCTGTAAAAAGTCAATAAGTCATCATACAATTATGGAATCAGTACCATGGTCATCCTCTTTGTCACCTCCAAATCTGTATTGCAACGAGAAAATGCCTAGGTCATAAATGTAATTTGAGTTTATTAAAAGCATTAATTTTTTACAAATGTGTCTACATAAAACAAATGTGTCTACATAAAACAACAAAAATATCAACTGGGCTAGGCGAGGCTAGGCTATAAGAATTTAAACAAAATTCAACGAGACCAATGTGCATTAGATTAGGTTAGGCCAGCCTAATAGGTACCTATTCAATTTAAAGTAATTTTTTCATTTCAAATTTTACAAGTCTGATCATACTACCAAACATTTTGATACTTACAAACAAGATCTATCCGTGGTCTGGTGGTTAACGCTCTTGGTTCTTGAGCCAGTGGTCCGACTGGTCAACGGTTCGATTCCACACACAGACACAAGACTTTTTTTTCTTTCAAATTTTACAAGTCTGTGATCATGGCACCAAACATTTTGATACTTACAAACAAGTTCTATTGTGGTCTCGTGGTTAGCGCTCTTGGTTTGGTGCGACTGGTCAACGGTTCGATTCCACACACAGACACAAGACTTTTTTTCATTTTATTCCATTTTAATTCATCACACAGGTGAGTGATGTGACAAGTTTCAGGTGACACCGACAGGTGAAAAAAAAAATGGAAGGTAAAAAAATAAACTTTTAAAATAAGGTGAGGGGAGGATTGGTGAGGGTGGTAAGTAGTGCCCCTTGAGGTTAGGGTAGTAGGTAGTGCCCCTTGGGTTAGGGGTAGTAGACAAGGGGGTAGGTGTCCCAGTATCCCGCGTCTTATACTACTCGTTTTATGCAGCTCATCAAAGAAATGTTGACGTTTTTTCTCATATTATGTAAGTTAAATGAGTTTCAAGATCCATTTATCCATTCTCAGCTCAAAAAGCTTGGCCAGGCTAATCGGAACTCATTATTGAACCCTTCTTCGTTCAAATGCCCAGGAATACCAATAGAGCTTTTCAACAAGGAATATAGTGTGAGACTTCCACGTCTGCAAGAATCTCTACAAGATATGAGGGAAGATCCTACGAGAGATTTTAAATCAAAGACAACTATTATGGTCGTGAGTTGAATATCTTCAACAGTGTTAGTTTTGCAGAGCACAAATTTGCAAGAACAGAATGGTAAGATTCCGGTAAAAACACGGCCCAACAACCAGACTCATTCGATAGTTCCGTGTCAACCGACTACTATTGTTGGAATCATCACTAATATATCTTGAAATTCCCGTATCAGTTCCAGGAAATATGCTCTTTTGAACCGCTGATCAATAAGGAACTAAACATAGGTTCCCATGCTCCAAAGATAGACAAAATAGTGTCTGAGTTTGTATGGCAACAACTTTTAAACATAATTTTTCTGGTTAATCGAAATAAATGAAATTTGGCCTGCAGTAAATTGTTTTTGAATGTATCTTCATCTTACATCGGCGCAGTTTACTTTTCTGAGGTAATAGTTTTCTCCTGAGTTAGCCTGGATGACTTCTCCACCTCGTAGACTGGCGGATATTGGCTTTTTAAAAGCATCAACTCCCCGCTTTAGTCGAGGGTCACCAGGGCTTTCCCTACAGAGAGGGTAATAGACTTGGTTATTTTTATTGAAACCAGAGAAAACTATGTTTCTTCAAATATACCATAATATTTCTGATTGATTGTAGTGAGTGGGCTTCAGCCCGCATTAAATTTTATTTGTATAGATCTCCGTTTCATCAGTGTAGTGTATTTCTTTCAGGCAATAGTCTACTCTTGAATTAACCCGGATGACTTGTTCACCTCGTAGACTGGCGGATATTGGCTTTTGGAGAGCATCAACTCATACCGTCCCAGCATTTAGTCGAGGGTCACAGGGCTTACCCTAAAAATAGCATAAATGGAGGGTTAATTTCCAAAAAACCAGAGAAAACTATATTTTATAAATATAGAAGTAAATTACCAGAAGATGAACATATAGGAAGCTGCATTGAACATATGTTTAAATCTGTTACAAATCTGATAGTCTGGTGTGCTTTTTAAATAGTAAGAATGTGGAAATATTCTTCTGATGGTTACCAAAAATACTACCTTGTCTTATTGTTTACCATTCTTTTATATCAATTTATCTTGAATTTCCTAAGTTGAAGGATCTAATAACAATAATGACACCAATATACCGGATGGGCCAGCGAAAACGAAACAAGGTCGATATCTCGTATTGATCGTTCATTGAAAAAAATCGCTCAGACCCGTTGATTTTTATTCGGAGGGGGAAATCTTTTGCACATATTTTCAATGTTGTCACTTCAACCCTCTCGCGGGGGTAAGCGCCAACCCCTAAATCTTAAATTGCAGTAGCGGTCGAGCGATACCTCATTTCAAAGGTCATCGAATTCTCTTTTCAACGGTGCCTATTTTTTTGAATTTGATGCAGTGGTTTTCGAGAAAACGCATTTAAAATTAGACGAAACTAGTAGTGTTTCAGTCATTTTGAACACTTTCAATTTTGTAGTTATAACAATTTTCACTTAAGAAGTGATTTTATGTATTTTTTTTTAAAGTCGTGTGCTATCCAACTTGAAATCACAAGGTTTTTTTTTTATCACTCAATAAAATTCAACTAAATACATTCTAATTTTAAATATTTTTTGAAAAAAAAAACTTGGTAAATTCAAAAAACTAGGCACCGTTGAAAAGAGAATTCGATGACCATTGAAATGAAGTATCGCTCGACCCCTACTGCCATTTAAGATTTAGGGGTTGGCGCTTACCCCCGCGAGAGGGTTGAAGTGACAATATTGAAAATATATGCAAAAGATTTCCCCCTCCGAATAAAAATCGACGGGTCCGAGCGATTTTTTTCACTGTACGATGAATACGAGATATCGACCTTGTTTCGTTTTCGCTGGCCCACCCTGTACCTACTTATACCATAATTTATCTGTTTATGTTCAAATCGTGAAATGAAACATTTTTTCTGTAACGTTGTTTTTTTTTTATCGGCGCCTTTGCCTTTAAAGCCCGCCACATTTTCCAGGCCCAGTCCGTCCCTGATCAAGTTTTTTTCTTGGTACACACCAAATAAGTATACACACCAAATAGTTATCCGAATGTTTTATGATTTTGGTTTTCCATTTAGGCTCGGTTTATTCACCTTCTTATATACTATCAGCTTATGCAATCTGACGGATGAAAATGTAATTTATTATCCTATCCGCCGGTCAGTTAGCCGTCGACTAATGGGATTATAGATTGGTGAATTGATTTTGGTAGACAGTTATCAGTAAGTTTATCTGAAGATTAATAAACTGGGCCTTGTCAAATGATAAATCTGGAAAGTAACTTTTTCATTGACTTGCTGCTATTTACTACAAGGTAGGTGAGGCCTTTTCACACCAAAATGTTGCCAATGATGACTCTTGGCGTTAGTTATGTATACGATGTATACGAACCAGAATCCAAGCGTCAGATAATGCAATGGAAACATGCACGATCTCAGAAGATACTTTTTAATTGCCGATGCCAGGCTGTGCTGTTCACGCTGAGCGATACTTTAAAATGATTCTAACGTGTCGGCATCCAAGAACGAAAGCACTGGGAAGCTCACAAATCATGTATTTGACATGATAATGGACGTCCTTTTTATAATTCCGATGTAAAATTTTCATGTTTTGCAGCTCAAATCGGACACAGAGGTAGAGTTTATTGTTGGGAAACACTTCAGCAAACTTTTCACTAGCAGGAAATCTGCAGATTAATGCAACTTTGGATATTGACTTTATTCTGAATGGCTTTTCAATTTATTGAAGAGAAATGCCCTACCTACAGCGTCTCAACATGTTTCTATTCAACATTAAATGTGAAAATGGAGGAAATCTCCAAAATTCGTTTTTGCAAAAATGACAATGTGTAACATAATTTTTGATGCTGCGCACTCTATTCAATAACTATATTTCCCAGTAAACTATATAGTTTCTTCTACAGCATAATGGAATTGAATCAAAAAAAGTCTGCATTCCACCATTCAAATATTGATAATAATTCTAAACAAACAAAACGTTTACACCTACGAGTATTTGTTTCAATATTTAAAAATTTCTGTTATATAGGTATGGAAAAATTACAATAAGAATGTTTTATTTTTCTTTTCCATTGATGCAGAAGGCCTTAGGACTAGAATATGGTAATTGTTTCAATTAGTAATCAAATTAAATTACTTTACTTCAATTGTTTATTTTTATCTGCTATTTCACATAGATTGCTCTATATACCCTCACCCTGTATATTTTTTGATAGGAAGGAAGATCTCGATTTCTGATTTCAAAAGAAAATAATTTCCATTTTCCATTTTCATTTTCAGTCGTTTTCTTTCCTTAGGATATAGGCCTCTTTCAAATTTGACCATTGTCTTCGGTTTTGCGCAACTCGGTACCAATTCAAGCCTGCAACCCTCTTTATATCGTCGTACCATCTTTGTTGGGGTCTTCCAACACTTCTCCTCTCTTCCCAAGGTCTCCATCTAGTGATATACCCGCTCCAGTTTTCTGTATGTCTGGCCACGTGTCCTGCCCATTGCCATTTTAGGGAACCAATTATTTTTATTATGTCGGAGACTTTGGTTCTTTCCCTTATCCATGTATTTGTTTTGTGGTCTCTGAGGGAAATTCCTAAAATTCGTCTTTCAATGGCTCTCTGATGTACTTCCAATTTGTGTTTAATTCTTCTGGTTATCACCCAGGTCTCGCAGCCATACGTGACAACAGGCAGTATACACTCGTTATAGACTTTTGATTTTAAAGTCATTGGAATATTCATGCTGAAGATGTACTTCAACTTGCCGTAAGCCGCCCATCCCAGTCTAATTGTCCTATCAATTTCCATTTCTTGATTTTGTTTGCCCGGTGTTATAGCTTGG